TCCAAATTTGGTCCTTTAGGGTTATCCGTATAAATCAGGCCTTTAAGTCTGACGAGTGGAGATGCTCGTCAGATTTAAAGTTTTTTAAAATCGGTTCACACTCGGAGTAGGCAATATACCACCAAAAACAGTCATAAGTCACCAACTCTCATTTCACACCAACTATTTCCCAAAAATCTGACAAACCTACTCCAGAAAAATGGAGGAGTTCGGTAAGTACTGTACCTAAACGCTGTCGTTGGAGAAATTCCTCCGAGACGATCGGACGGATGTTGGTTCAAGGCCGATAGGACCAGTGTGAACATCATAGGCCACTCCGTGGGTCGTAGGCGCATCTCGCTGCACAATGGCTTCAGCATCCGCATGATGACTCAGCACCTCAACTGTCCCATTCACCTACTGAGTATGGGCAGTGAGGCGTGACAAAAGGGTGATGGACCTCAAACATCCGGTCATGGTTTTGATCACTTCGTTCTTGATGTGGGGGCTGCACTCAGATACCCAAGGTCTTCACAGAACAGACCGAACCACTCCATTTCTCGGTACACTGAGAGTGTATTGACTGTGATGCCCAAATTACACCGAAGTGATTCTTTGGTTGATGGGCACAAAACCTGATTGATAATGAAGTCACTTTTGGATTTGTCATCAAAGTCTACTGTCACGACCATGGTAGCTGATTGTGCAAGCCGGCGCAGACAACATTGCTGGCGATGCGCCTAATCCCGGGGATGAACATTACACTTCGAAGGATGTATCTCACTAGGGCGGAGGGGTGATAGGGCTGGAGTAGCCGCTACGAATATGATTTTGATTGTTTGCATTTTGCTTGTTGGGGTGACAGGACGCTTGTAGGGCATGTGCTAGTGTAACCGCGTCGAATACATCTATGCATTTGGTTGTTTGATTTTTCTACTTAACGGTATTGAAGTTGTTTTGAGTAAGCAGAGATTTTTGCGCGAAGAGCCATTCCTAATCCCTGCCGGCACACTCTGAAGCGCAGCGGCGTGTTGATGAACGTTTTGGATTTTTATTACTTCCAAGTAACGTGATTACATTGAGTATGTGTATCTATTCCGACAAAACACATTTCTTGGTCGGGTTCATGGGCGAGTCCACAGGGCAGTTGAACGCCTTGGCAAAATCGATCGAGTTTTGAACCGCCCCAATCATGCGGTGGGGACCAGGGGGGTGCTTGTTGGCGAGATGAAGCCGGAGGTAATCGACGCTGTTCTTTACGCACAACGATTGGCCGTATCTGATCCAAAACAACTTGTCGCCTGTTTCCTCGGTGTAGTTGGTGGCATCGGCCACAGTGCGCACGTAGTCTTGGTACGCCCGGTATGCAGTGTTGAGGTCCCCATTGTCGACGATAGTTTTGACCAAGGTCAAATTGCCGTCCAACTTGCCGAGCAATGCATCCGTGAACTCGCGCTTGACGTCCATGGACCTATACTGCTCGATGAAGTACTTGGCCTTTTCGCGGAACGTTGCCCTCACGGCAGCTTTCCACCACGAATTGATTTTGCCGTCCCCGTCGTAGTTACGGCCACGGTTGTCGAAACCGTGGGTGATTTCGTGGCCGACCAAAGGGACAGTAGGGTAATAGTTCACGGACGGGTCCGCCTTGGCATCGAAGAACAGGGACTGCAAGATGACGGCGGGAAACTCGAGCGTGCTTGGCGTCACATGTTCCACGTACTCACGTCGTGCGCAGCAGACTTCCGAATCTGCTTGTCCACGGCAGTGTCGATATGAGCTAGGTTGAACGCTGTGTCGAACGTAGACACCTTGTTCAGGTTGGCAATGTAAGCCTTGGGGTAAAGAACGTCACGGCAGTGTCGATATGAGCTAGGTTGAACGCAGTGCCGAACGTAGACACTATGTTCAGGTTGGCAATGTAAGCCTTGGGGTCGAACGTCAAGGTGGGGTACGTTTTGGGGTTCCTGGGGCCCCCCAAGAGGTGGGTGGGCTTGGACAACTTGGTCTTGGCGTTGGCGGGAGTGGTGTCATCGAGACACCCTGCACTGTCCAGTCCGGTCTTGTAGGCAGCTTTCAGCATCAGCACGAGCGAGTCGGCGCGCGCGGCGGTGTCGGCTGTCCACACTTTCTTGAGATAGTACGAGCTCAGTAGTTCTCCGATGGTCGTCTTCACCTGACCGCGTCAGATTGTGGCCCGCAACAGGGGTTTTGTGCGACCATCAATCACCATCTCATAAAAGTCCGAGCGTGCTTCCACAAAACGGTGTTGACAGGTACGCGCGTTGAAGTCGAGCACCTTATACTCGATGATCGTTATGAATGCCGTCTGGGTTGAAACAGTCACCCATTGGTTAGAATGTGCAAGAACGACATTTCAATTGTTGGTGCTTCTACGATTAATACGTCCTTCAAAGTGGTATATTGCTTCACATCCGAGCGGGTTAAAATTTCCAGATTCGGGTGCAGTACGACTTGGCCGTTACATGTATTTCCAGTGTTTTCTGTATTGACATGTGAGGCTGTTTCGAGGTACTGTACTGTACAACCAAGCGAAGGTTTATGCGCGAAGCGCCATTACTAATTCCTGTCAGCACACTAGCGCAGCAGCGTGTTCATGAACGTTACAGTATGTATCTATTCCCACAAAACACACTTCTTGGTGGGGTTCATGGGCGAGTCTACAGGGCAGTTGAACACTGTGGCAAAATCGACCGAGTTTTGAACCGCCCCGATCAAGCGGTAGCGACCAGGGGGATGTTCGTCGGCGAGTAGAATCTGGAGGTACTCGTCGCTGTTCTTTTCGCACCACGATTGGCCGTACCTGATCCAAAACATCTTTTCACCTGCTTCCTTGGTGTACTTAGTGGCTTCGGCTACAGCGTTTACGTAGTCCCGGTACGCTCGGTATGCAGTGTTGAGGCCCCCATTGTCGGCGATAGTTTCGACCAACGTCAATTTGCCATCCAACTTGCCGAGCAAATCACCCGTGAACTCACTCTTGACGTCCATGGACCCATACTGGTCGATGAAGCACTTGGCTTTTTCGTCGAACATTTTCGTCGCGGCAGCCGTCCACCACGGATTGAGGTTGCCGTCGCCGTCGAAGTTGCGGCCGTCGTTGTCGAAACCGTGGGTGATTTCGTGGCCGACCAAAGTGCCAGTAGCGCCATAGTTCACGGACGGGTCCGCCTTGTCATCATACAGCGGGGGCTGCAGAGTGGCGGCGGGAAAGACGATTGCATTCGCCGGCCGGTCGTGGTACGCATTCACGGTTTGCGCAGTATACCACCAAATCTGCTTGTCCACGGCAGTGCCGATCTTAGCCAGGTTGAAAGCAGTGTCGAACGCAGACACCTTGTTCAGGTTGGCAATGTAAGCCTTGGGGTCGAACGTCAAGGTGGGGTACGTTTTGGGGTTCCTGGGCCCCCCCAAGAGGTGGGAGAACTTGGACAACTTGGTCGTGGCGTTGGCTCGAGTGGTGTCATCGAGCCACCCCGCGCTGTCCAACCCAGTCTTGAAGGCTGCTTCCAGCGACAGTACGAGCGAGTCGGCGCGCGCGGCGGTGTCGGCTGTCCATACTTCCTTGAGATAGTACGAGCCCAACAGTTCGCCCATGGACGTATCCACCTGACCGCGGCAGATCGTGGCCCGCGACGGGGGTTCTTTGAGGCCTCCAATCACCATGTCATAGAAGTCCGAGCGTGCTTTCACAAATGGTGTTGACAGGAACAGCGCGTTGAAGTCCAGCACCTTGTACTCGATTATCGTCTTGAGGTCGTTGACGGACAAGCTACGGAGCAATTCTTCTATGCGGTCTAAGTAACCGATGTCGTCCAGCAGGACCGTGGTCGTGCTGTGCCATTCTCGGACGTCGAACCCAAACCCTTGCAATTGGAGACCTAGCCCCAATGGATACAACGCGTTGGCGGCGCTGAGCGACAACCGTCTGGGCGTCACGGCCACTTGGAGCTTATGGTTGGACAGCTGTACCCCGGCACCTGCGCGTCCAAACGCAATCACTACGCTAGTGGCCGCCTCCACCTCCGCCTTCGTGTGGCCGGCAAGCGTGAAGATCGCGGCAATGTACTCGCGATACGGCTTTTCAATCGTGGCCCACAACGTCGGATCTTCGTAGTAGTTTTTGCCAATCGACAATTCCACGTGTCCGGCTTTTAAGACGTTGCGGGTGGCGTCGATGGTGTCGGCCAAAACCGGCAGAGACACGAACAGCGGCAGGCCGGTGGCCTTAGAGATGGTTGCGCCGCGAAAGATGGCTTCGACCGCCGTGTTGGCGCTGCGGATGGCCTTGAGGTGATCTTCGATGGGAGCCAAGCCCAAGGTGTCTAAAGTGGCAGTGTCCATACACGCGTCATAGAACTCGGTGAGTTTAGGCAGCTTGGCGTCCACCAACTTTTCGACCAGCTTGTACGCCGCAGCCTCGATCACGGCGTACGTGGCATCGGTAGTACTTTGGTTGGCGTGGAGGGGGGTGTTCGTGTACCACGTCCCGCACGAATAGGAAAAGAAGTCGGTGCATGGGTCCACGGTTTGATCCATGAGGCTGGTCAGCTCTATCGGAAACTCGGAGATAGTGCCGAAAGCAGACGCGACACCGACGGACAAGACAGCAACAATGATCTTGACCATGGCTAGTATATTGAAGAATGACCAAGCGACCAAACAAGCTCGCGAATGATGGGGCTACCGCTACTGTATCCATCGCAATTTGGGATACCAAGGAGACATGTGGTGGATAAAATGCATGCACTTTTTAATGGCCCTTTCCATATGTATTAGACCTCTTGGTCATAGATTAACGTTACAGTTATGTACAGTACTACTGTACTAACGTTAACGTTAGAAGTAGAATTTTAACCAGTGAAAAGGACCTCTTGATTGGGCCTATTGTAACGTTTCCTTGAATTTTACGCATATGTAGCACCAGCTGCTGAATCACATTCTATTAGTACCGGTACAGGATGGAGGCACAGCAGCACATGGCAACGTCTTGCCCAAGGAGATACCATACGGTACATGCACGTACAGTACTAGTATTTTGCTTAGGATATTCCAGACAGCACTACAGGTAATTGAAGTCACTCTTGATCGTGCCAGTGTACTGCGATACACTATACTGTTGTCTTTAGTACAAGAACAATAGGGGGAGTCAATATAGGAATTTTCTGCTTTTAGTTGATTTTGAAACTCAAATAAATATTCTTTTGTATTTTTATTCCCTTGCTCGAAAAATAACTGAGTAGTCCAATGTTCGTGGCAAGGTGCACAAAGTGCCGTAAAATTCAGTATCATTTCCTCGAATAGCCGCAAGGGTTTGCCGAAGTGGGTTATGGGTGGGCCGCATTGTTGGAATATAGGGTACCGTCATGAATAACTCCCTCTTCGTGGGTTTAGCTGCCAAAACAGTGTCAAGTGCAACGTTGAATTAGGTTGCCGAATGGATGCAGCACATGTCCACGGCTTCCGCAACCGGTAGAGCAAGCCTAAGAACATCTCCACCGCATCCCCAAATATTTTCCCCATAACGTTAACCCAGAACGTCGATTGTATCGTTACTTCAGGTTGCAGTACGGATATTTTTGGGATTATCCGGGTGATTCTGTCCCCATTTGCTTCGGATATCCCAATAATTTGCACTTTTTGGGATGTCCGAGGCAAATGGGGACAAAATCACCCGGATAAGTCCCCAAATTCTGCTTAGTATCCGTAACTACGAGGTACAACTGTAGTAATAATTTTTAGGGATGGCGAGTTGGGATGCGGTGGAGATGCTCTAAGCGATGTAGTCGTTGTTGATGTGCCAGATAATGCATGGGAGTATCAACTAGGTCGCCTTGCACTTTCATCGACGTACTGTAAGCATGTATGTCCTACTAGTATGTAATTTAGAATCATTCGACCCGGCAAACCGAGCTACAGTAGCGTATTGTAGCCTAAAACGAGATAAATAGAAAAATACTAACGTATTAGAGCCTTTTTAGAGTCTAAAACTTCTGTCAATAATCTACAACTTCTGGTAAGAATATACGTTCAACTGTCACCCTGCAGCCAAAAACCAAAAACGTTAAATACCGATTTCATGCGTTTTATCACTGCAGTAGCAGGTTAAAGGTCCCATCTACCTCCGGATATTACATACGGATAAGAGCCACATACAAAAATAAAGATACTAGTACATCTCAGCGGCCACCCGTATGGCCAAATATCCATGCCCCCATGTAAAATACCACTAGGTTAAATATCTATTTC